TTTTTTTTTTTAACTTAAATACAGGATGATTCAAAGCCACCTTATTCCTATGCACAATTAATTGTACAAGCAATTACAATGGCTCCTGACAAACAACTCACTCTAAATGGGATTTATACTCACATCACTAAAAATTACCCATACTACAGGACTGCGGACAAGGGCTGGCAGGTAAATCCATTTCGATTTGTTATGAAATATTTCTGTGACAAGTCAGTAGATGCTGATTGAAAACAGAGGAAAATTGAGCTGCTTTCCTTAACTTGGGCACAGGGCAAGGGTAGAGCGAGGTGAGGGAGACCCTCTTTTGCTCAGGGAGGAGGACGTGTTAGAGGCCACTGGCCCCGTGCTTTGACCTCCTCCACACAGAGCAGAAGGAATAGTGGCTCTAGAAGAAAACCTCAGCCTGTGGTTTTTACGGTCCCTGACCGTCCCCACGGGTGGGAAAGGCATGGATTGTTTGAGATGTTTCTCTTTGACCATTGCAGTTAACTTCCTGTGTCTGAAGTAAAGGAATGTGAAAAACCCAGCCCGTCCTTTACTTCTTCCTTCTGTCTTCCTTACCTGTGTCTGCTGACGTACATAGCTTCTTGAAGTTTGCAGAGGTGGTTTCCAAACTATTTTATCAACGAACCCTTTCTTCAAAAGACATCTTCGCCCGTTGGGCAGTGTAGAAAAGCAGAAACCCGATGCTGCCCTGTGTGGGGGCGGCCTACCTGCTTGTGTTCCTGTACTTTCAGATCATTCCTGGGGTGTCTGCCACCCAGCCTTCCTCAGAGGACTCTTGGATATTAGTGCATAATGGATCCTTACTGAACTTTTTAATTTCGTTTAATTTTTAAAGTTTTACACCGTGTGGTTTTTTCTTCTGTGTATCTGTGCTAGGTGTGCCTGCTTGCTGGAGTATGGTAGAACCTCCCTAATTCGGACCATATGGGAAAGGCAGGGTTGAAATAGGGAGCGTTAACAGCATAAGAAAAGAAGAAACGTATGCTTGCAGTTCTTGAATTCATTAAGTAATGAGGAATGGCAACACTATTCCTTTCAGGCATAGTGAGTAAATGATCCTCGGAAAAATGTGTCTGCTGACCCGTAACCATAACCGAGTGGGTGGGGGTGGAGGGGGAACCATTTTCTGTTTAATGATGGGCAAAAACTCTTTTCTTCTACCTGTAGACATACAAACGTGTTATAATACAAGTAGTCCAGCCAAATCCTGAACATTTCCTTTGTAAGGGGTCTTTAGTCACGTCCGGGTCCTCGATTGTGGAGGGTACAGAATAAGACCCCGCCTCCCTTCCTGGCCTGGGGCAGCTGCCCCCTGCCTGCCTCCCTATGCACAGCGAGGTGCATTTATTAGTTGGCAGTGAGGAAAATGCTGGATTTGGAGAACGCTTTGCTCTCCAGTTACCTGGCAGGTCTCTTCAACACATTGGACAAGAAATCCCTGCGATACTGACCATTTTAATTGAGGACAGTGAGGTTGTGCTTCAGATAAAATGTCCAACAAAAGAAGCAGAGCCAAATGATAATCTGTGTCCATTTCTGATGATTGCTCCTGGAACACGGTTTCCTGTGTGTGGGCAGATGAGGTCTCAGGATACCCCCTCAAGGAGTGGGGTGGGGTTATGGGCAGCTCGTCGCGTGCAGAATTCTGGTGACTGGAAATGTCAGTTAGCGGGGCAGAAGGGGAGCCAGTGTTTCTGAAGCGCCTGGCCAGACCTTCGGTGATGTGTTTCCCTGTGTTTCCTAACATCCATTTATGCAAGAGCTGCTTCCAAACAACATACGGTTTTCTGGCCAGAGGACGAAGGCCAGCTCTCAGGGGCGGCCTCCTCCAGGCTTCAGTCTTGTGGGGAGTTAGGTCAGGTGCGATCCCCACGTGCACGACTTCCCAGCCCCTGAGAGCGGAGCGTCACAGACATGGCTGCTGGAGGGCAAGCACCCCTCTCTGTTAGCTGTCATCGATGCTGCTTTTTATCGAAACCTCTTTTCTGTCTAGATCAAGGCCCAGAAGGGTGACTGAGCCTTGCCTGTGTAAGGCCCTCCTGGCTCCAGTGTTTTAGCAGAAAAGAGATTTCCTGTTGCACCCCTCCCTTTAATTTTTGGAATGCGCTCTCAATTTCTTTTAGCTGTTCCCAGTACTGGTCCACACGTGTTCTTTTTCTGTCATGAGATTCTCTGAGCTGCCCCTCCCAGAGTGACTGCGCTTAAAGTCTGTATGGATAAGACCTTCTTCCCATGTCCTCACTTTTGGCTTAAAACAAAAAAGCCTTTCCCTTTGGCAACCTTGTTTCATAAAAGCCAGATCCGATTTTCTTTGTGTGGAGAGTAGGGGGGAAGACGGTCTTGTAGAACAGCCCAGTTTTAAAATGCGGGTTTCCAGACTGCCTCCTGCCCTCCCCTAGAGCGTTAGGGAGGTGGCGGTGCTGGGAGAGCAGGGCCCGAGGGCTTGGCCCTGACTCTGATCTGCTCCTGGGAGACCTGTGCCTTTTGGAGCACCTGAAGGAAGTCCACAGCTGCCTTCCAGGCTCGCTTCGGGTATTTTGCCTTGTCTGCCTTTGGCAAGGCTTCTTGATTGGTCCAGAGGAAACTCTGGGATAAAACAAATTGTGACCGCATCTGGGAAGATGGCATGTTTCTTTCCTTCGGTTGCATATTTATGCCAAAATGTTTTCTTATGATTTATAATTATAATTTTACCCAGCCCAGAATTGAGGTATTTGTTATAACTAGAAAACTTGAATTCTGGGCCTTTGGGCCTCTGAAAGGACCAGAGCCGGTTTCTTAAAGTAGAGGGCGTGTTGTGGGCTCCTCTCACCCTGTACCTTGAACTCTGCTTCTAGAAGGTCCTGACATGTTCCCTTCTTACCAGTTTCTTTACAAGTCCTCAGTAGAGCACTCTGCATGAGTGGGGCCGACAGACACTAGGTCTGGGCAGGAGTGCTGGGGGTGCTTACAGAGGCCGGAGGCCGGTGACCAGCTCTGGGCCTTTCGTCCGGGTCATCTGCAGGGATGGAGCTGCCTTCGGGGACAGGAGGGAGGAGGGACTGGTGCCCAGGGAGGATGGGTTGTGGGAAGTAGCCTCGGTGAGGGGAGGGTCTGGGGGGGAGAGAATGTGTGCAGTACTGCAGACCCTTTTCTTCCTGTTTAGTTTTAAAGAGTAATAACCTGCCTTTTCTCTGCATGTAATACTTTCTGAATCAGTAGAAGCCAAGCCAGCATGGTTTTTGTGTTTGTAGCTTGGCTTGATCAAATTACAAAGGCCTTAAATGACCTTAGAAATATAGTTACTTTGTGTCTGCATTAAGTATCTCGTGGAATAATGGGAATGACTTCCACAGCATTTCTAGTCTTGTTGGCTGGAAAATCGTGGCCTCTTTGTTCCATAGGCTTGTTAGACCCTGTTGTGATGGTGTATAGTGTAGCTTCTGTCACATTTTCAGGACAGAAAATAGCGACTCCTTGACCTAGGAACTTGCGTACAGCTTGTCTGTGGCATGAAGGTCGTGGAACCACAGCCCCGCCCCGGTCCTGTTCTCCTTTATCAGTGGGAAGAAATACTAGTGTCCCAGTCCCCTGAAATGGCACTTCCTACCTCCAGACTCCCCTTGAGCCAGCTTCCCTTTTTCCTCCTAGCAGTACGTGCATTAACCTTCTCGGTGCAGTTCCAGCCTTCACGTGGGGGTTCAGCACCTCCCATGTTGTTCACTTGTAAGCTGCCCAGGTAGCCAGGTTCCCTCCCACAGTACAGTCGGAGGACCTCTTAACCCTTCCATGGCAGTCGTCAGGATTGCCTTGTTCACAGCCAGAGGGCCCTGTGGTGTCACGGTCTGGGTTTGCTTTTCTCAACCCACAGTCTTGGAGTCTACCTTCTACGGCACAGAAACGTCTGAGGAATCAGAGGAAGATCGTCTTCTCTCTTTGGTGGAAGCGCCAGTAGTAGTTGAGTTTGATTTTTCTGGAAGAGCTAGTAGAAAGGTATTGTTGGTAGATCCCTAAACCTGTGATAAAACATAATAACAAGTATCTGCGGTTATCAAAATGTTCTAAATCTTGGGGCTCTCAGATGGCTCAGGTCGGTTAAGCATCCAACTTCGGCTCGGGTCATGATCTCACGGTTCATGGATTCAAGCCCGTGTCAGGCTCTGTACTTGCTTTGGGTCCTCTGTCTCCCTCTCTCTCTCTCTCTCTGCCCCTCCAGTGTGCGCGCGCTCTCTCTCTCTCTCTCTCTCTCTCTCTCTCTCTCTCTCAAAAATAAACATTAGGGGCGCCTGGGTGGCTCAGTCAGTTAAGCGTCCGACTTCAGCCAGGTCACAATCTCGCGGTCCGTGGGTTCGAGCCCCGTGTCGGGCTCTGGGCTGATGGCTCGGAGCCTGGAGCCTGCTTCCGATTCTGTGTCTCCCTCTCTCTCTGCCCCTCCCCCATTCATGCTCTGTCTCTCTCTGTCTCAAAAATAAATAAACGTTTTAAAAAAAGTTTTTTTTAAATAAACATTACAAAAATAATAAAATAAAATATTCTAAGTCTCAGGTAATGCATTTATTTATAAACACTTCCACAAATCACAGACAGTCTAGGCTGCCCCCCTGCGTGTTGCTGGTGAGGGAGACGGACTTCCACGGGCTTGCGTGGTGCTGTGGTCACAGCCATAGCCTGTGACTGGTTGTGGTAGGTGAGCGGTCCCCTAGCTGGGTTGTAAAGTAGAATTTGATACATTTGATTTCTGAGCCACCTCTGGCAAGTGAGGATTTCAGGCTGTGGCTAGGAGTTCCTTTAGAAGATTAATTGGGGAATTTAGAAATGATTTTGGGATAGCCCGAAATTGTACTGTGAGTTACCATCATTTTGAATCTTCAGTAGTTTAACTTACTAACTTTAAAGATGGGTGTAAATACATGAAATAACTTGGATGCATGGCTTCTGTCCAGCTGTTGCTGACTCTGGTTTGGGGGGCTCGGGATCAGGCGTGCTGCCAAGAGTCGTGCAGGTTGCAATGGGGAGCTTTCCTGAAACTGTCTGTAAGCTGTGAGCCAAGATTTTTGTAATGGAAAGAATAGAGCAGGAGTTGAGGGAAACCTCCTCTCTGTGGATCAAATTGAAAAACATGTATGGAAGTATTTTGCAAAGTGCTCTTATTACTGGAAGATGGTGTCGACAATACGTCTCAACCTTTAGCTCGTCTTTATCCTTTGCTGGTTTGCCAAACACTTTGCACTGGATTAATTCATTTTAGATGGCTGTGACAGATTCTTGTAAGCTAATTCCGTGCTCAAAAAGTATTTTAAAGGATTGGCTTATTTTGTCTCTGTTCGTCTCTAAGCAGGAAAGGTGAGATGACTACAGTGAGGGTCCTTGGTCTCCTACCTGGGGGAGAGATGGAAATTGCCTTCTTCCCTGTGGTTTAGATGGCCCACCCCTTCTTTGTTCCCTAGATTCCCCC